CACACGCCCACCCACCCCACTAACGCTGTAAGGTTGCGGCTCTTGCGAAGTGGCCAAACACTCCATGTCCATTTTAACAGGACCAACAAGTAGATGTCGCATGGATCTTACTTGGGGCTTTGTTTGGAATTGAAGCCAGCTAGGCGATATGTTTGGAAGGAACTTCGAGAGTAAGGCCCTATGTTTGGAGCCAGCTAGGCGATATGTTTGTAATTGGAGCCAGCTAGGCGATATGTTTGGAAGGAACTTCGAGAGTAAGCCAAATACTTTGAATTTTTGTATCTAGTAAGGCCCAGGGAGGGGCTAAGTGATTTCGTCCTCAGATTCACACATATTAGAAACAAAATTCTCGATATCAAGAAGACACCATTATCGCCATTTTTCATAGAAACGTAAGAGCCGGAACTACATCGACACCCTGACTAAATGGTATGCACAAAATGTCGATAAGTTAATGAAGAAGGACGATCTTGCAATTAAGGTGCATGCAAGGATGTTCCATTCTCTCTCATATATATCTCTTAAGTATAAAAAGTTCACATTTTTAGTGATTTAGATGCTTCATATCCTTACACTAGAATTTTTTTATTTTTTATAATTATTTGAAATCACGGCAAAAAGACCTTTCAAACAAGAGTGATATTGGATATATTTAAAACTCATTTATATTTAGTAAGATTGAAATAAAATTCGCAAGTGATAACAACTATTAAAATTATTTTAATTAATCCCAAAATGACTTTAAATTATTCCAAAAATGATTTCTATGGTGTTAGAATAACTAAAATATATATTAATATTTTTGTAAAATGGAATGAAATAACTAAAATACATATTCAGTTATATTTAACATAATGTAATGTTTATGAAACTGATTTCAAATATGAACAAAACACAAAAATTAAACTACTTCAAATATATCAAAAAGTCTTCTTGTTCTAAAGACCTTCTCGCTAGGAATTTCAATATATAGAAACTTTTGAAAACAAATTTTTTATTTAAAAGATAATACTGCCTTAGCGTGACCCAAAAAGCTAGGGTTCCTCTTGCCTGCCGCCGGTCCACCCCGTCTCTGGTGGCCATAGGGCCATGGAGGCGAAGTGGATCTCGGCCCTTGCCGGTGGGAGGGCTTCGTCTTTACATCTATTTTCGAGTTTTGTTAGGGTTTGTGTTCTACTCAGAAAGGCGAGACAGCGGCGACTCCCTGAAGATGGAATAAAGGTCTCCCCGCCTAGCCCCTATTCCGGTGATGCGTCTAGCATCGTCGGTGGGCGTGTGGCGGTGTGTCTCCGGCTGATCTGTCTTTGGTGGATTTGTTCGGATCTGTTCATCGTTCGTCTATGTTCCTGTGTCTTCAGGTTGGATCCTTCCGATCTACACTCTTCATCAGCGGCGGGTGCTACACTGGTGTGTTGGTTCTATGGGACCTTAGCACGACGACTTCTCGACTGTCTACTACAACAAGGTCTGTCCGGCTCCGGCGAGGGAGGGGCAATTACAGCGGTGCGTCTTCGACTCGCTTCAGTGCTTGTAGTCGTCGCTAGATGGTTTACGGATCTGGATATAATTTTTATTATTTTTAGTGTTCATTGTATTACCATGATTAAAGATGAATACGTTGAAAGCTTTTCCCAAAAAAAGAAGATAATACTCATAAAAAGTTGTAAAAACAATATACTATAGAATGCATGTGAATTAATGGGAGTTAGTGCACGAGAGAGGCCTGCATGCAAGTGTCGTTTCTTGTTGTCTCCCAAAGTTGGGTTTTTTTTTTGAGTGGTCTCCCAAAGTTGGGTTTTTTTTTGAGTGGTCTCCCAAAGTTGTTGGCATGAGCGGGAGCTCCTAGTCAGCGTTGCACGCCCGTTAACGAGCTGGCGCCTGCAGCGTCGCTGGCATGGGCCAGCCCAACGCGCGCTTGCACTCGTTCGCTGTTGAAGTAAAAAAGCAATAATCCTCAAAAAACAGTTAAAAAGCAATAGGAACTGAGGATCAATGGGAATTCGAACTCAGGATTGCTTTGTTACGAGTGCACCACACTAACCACAAGAACAAACTAACTTTGTTGTCTACTATAAGAAAACAGCTCTAGTTAACCTTTTTGTGCGGTAAAACATTAATATATACTCAATATAAATTATCTCAAAAAAGAAAACATAAATTCGAAAAGAAAGTTAATCAAATTTTAAGAAAAGTTCAAAAAAATGAAAAAGGTCATCGATTTTACAAAAATAAAGTTCATTGAATTCGAAAAAAGTTCGTTGAATTCGAAGACAAATTCATCGGATTCGAAAAAAGTTCATCGAATTCAAAAAAAGCTCATCAGATTCGAAGAAAGTTCATCAGTTTTGAAAAAAATTCATTGAATTCGAAAAAGTTCATCGATTTTGAAAAAAGTTCATTGAATTCAAAAAAAGTTCATCGAATTTGAAAAATAGTTCATCGAATTTTGGAAAAAGTTCATTCGATTTGGCCAAAAAGAATAGAAAACCGAACAAAATAGTTACAAATAAAAAGAAATTGGAAAAGGAGAAAAGGGGAAGGACATAGAA